TATATTTGTCTGTTTAAAATACATGTGAGAAGCTGGTGAGGCGGCTTGGCCAACAGAGATACTTGCTTCCAACCCACAACCTGAGAACCCAAAGGACAGAGGGAGAGAATGGACTACTTCAAGTCATTCCTTGACCTCTGCACATGTGCTATGGGGTGTGTGTGTGTAATTTTGAAATTACATAATTTCAAAAGAAAACAAAATGCATCATTGAAGGGGGTTGTCCATAGAACGTGACTCTTATCTATTTTGTGTGATCAAAATTTTTGCTACGTTGTCTAATCTCCTACATGCACTAATTCATTCATTTATTCCTCCACCAAATGTATTTCTGTGGCAGGATTTGAAAATACAAGACTTTAATAGTAAATTTACTCGAATGAACAACTGTGTATAGCTGCAGTTTATGTACTACATGAACCCCTACTAATGTTAAATGCAGAATTCTGACATCTGAGTGGTTTGATTCCATTTGACATATTATTCTTTAAAAATAAGAAAAATGCCAAATGCCTCCATGAACCTCTGTATCTGGAGCACAGAATTATTAATGAAATCGAGTTCTTGTTTCAAAACTCGGTTTTCTGAATTGTACCGTTTGGTGTGTGAATTCATGAGTGCAGTGGGGATGGAGGGGCTGCCCAGCCCATTTCTACTTCTCAGTACACAAACCCCTGCTTGAAGATTTATTTATTTTTTCTCCTCAGGCAAGGAAGATTCCTGTCCTCTTTAATTTCCTTTTCCTGGGCATGTTACAAATATCCTCGCTGTGTTTCTTCAGGTCTATTGTAGTGGAGCCAATTCTTCCTTTTCTCTGCCTCTCACCTGCGCCTGTCTCCTTACTTGTGTGTAAGATGTCAAAGGAAAGCCGAGGGCAACACCTCAAGATGCCACCTTGAAACCAAAAATGCCAACCAATTCTTTTCTGCACCTGAAGCTTTTAATTCTTTAATCCACCGTGGAATGTTGCTTAATTACATATTTTATTATGCAGAACTGAAAATTATGTACTTTAGTTTCCAAAATGATAGGAAAGCATGGGCTGTTTATAAATAAAAGAGAGGCTGGTTTGCCTCTGGTTTTTCTCTTACACATATTTGTGGGGTTCTCCTGGGTTTGCCTCTTAAAATCTGGCTTTTTGAAAATGCTCAGCAAGTTCTGGGGAAAAAACAAAATTTTAAGTTTCCTCTAGAAATAAGAAGATTCACTTCTTGGCAAAAATGTAACATGCTGTTGTAGTATTTTAATAGGCAAATCCACAGGACAGCTGGGTTCCTTTTGTTGATACTTTTTGTCTTAATTCACTGAATTTCATAAAGTATTAATAGAAAAATGTTAGAATTGTTAGCTGAAGGATGTTGTTACAGCTCATTTATTTTTCATTTCCATGTTTTCTTTTTTTGTTTTTTTCCTCACAATTTTCCTAATAGTTTATGAAAAAATGGATGTGTATAGCTTTTATTCATATGAAGACAGCAGACTTTTGGGTTATTATTCCAGGGTGAAACATCTCATAGACTTGATTTAAATCAGTGTTCAACTTTTTCTTTTAACAAAATACATGTTGCTTTGTGTCTGTGGAAGAATTGAATTGCACTGTATTTGAGAAATTATTGAGAAAATGAGAGAGCTGGATTTGAGGCTACTGTGGCCACTTTGCAGCTAAGCAAGTCAGTTAACCTTTGAGCTTTCACTGTCCGCTGGTCTTTGAAGTGAGCGGGTTAGTGTCCGCTCTAAGTGCCTCCTAGTGGGATGGAGAGCTTTAAATAAGACACGGTGAGTCTGATAAAATGAAGCACTCTTCAGATGTTGCTGTTGGTTTAAACATATTGGAGGGCAATGGCAGCAGAGCGGCCTCAGCAGGAAGGCTGCCTTTGTATCAGACAGAGTTAAAACTGCAAACAAGTGGGGTGACACCTGTCCCCACATGGAGATGCTGTTCAGCAGGTCTGTGTCCTGAGCAAAATGCTCCTTTGCATTGTGTTGCTACCGAGGAAATACATTAATGCACACCTTTAAATATGTGTGCCTGAACATTCTGATCTAGCGGGCACTGTCGGATGTTTCAGGAGAGGAAAACCAGATAGAGACAGACATCACTTCTTTCTTGGAAGATGTTAAGGCATGAATTACAGACTGTCACTAGAATGAAGATTTATTTGAATGTATTTCTGATCGAGCTCACAGTGAAGAAATACTGTTCAGCATTTAACTTGGCGTAAAAGGGATCATTTTTCAGTTTCTCTGCTCTTACCTTGCTCACACTCCACTGCATCCACTCACAAACCACAATTAAAGACAAGTCCAAGTCAAGTGCTTTGGCTACAGTTAGGTGTATTAGCAGCTGGAAGTAGCCAATAGGAAAAGATGACTTCATACCCATCTTTGGCACAAGGGAAATAACTGTGATTGAATTTCAGTAGTGCTCTTTTCATAAAATTAAATGTGTGTGTGTATGTGTATATAAATATACATCTGTATAGAAGAATATAAGAAAGGCTTAAAAATGTTGCTCATATTTTAAACATTAATTCCAAACTATTTTTATTTAACATATGATATTGTCAAACAGGTATAGTATTCTTGACATACACCTTCCACCACATTTTGTTAGAGGGCACTTTATATTTATCAAAAATTGTGCGTATTAATAGGTTGTAGCTCGATTTTTGTCTAAAGACATGCAAGTATCCACTGTTTACATGTAAAGGATTGCTTCAGAGGAAACACTGAATCCAAGAATAGGCCCCTTTGAGAATTCCTTCTACGAACATTTTCGATGGCTCCTGCTCTGGAGCTGAGGGTTCCCATGCTGCCATCCACATTTCTGGCTGCCATCAGCACAATAGACTCATCCCCATTGCTCTAATACAGGCCATACACATTTTAATTGCTCTTGTTGAAAATATCACCAGGCAGTTCATAATATCTCATTTATTGAAAATATTGTGACAATCAAGGACCTTGTTATCAGCCAAACGTGAACAATTGGGACTAGGGAAGAATTTGATAGAAGCATGGGTGGGACACTCATTTTTAATCACTCCTGAACCATTTGAGTTTTTCTATCCAAGCTATGTAGTTTAAATAAGCATAGTTAACTATAGATACTACTAGGGGTGAACACTTAAGCTCAGAATTTCTTAGTACTAAATGCCAGTCAATAAACATTTTATACATATGTACAGACTTTGTTATCAAGTGCCACACAAGTAGGGCACACATATTAGTTACCTTCATTTTCAAAGGTTATATGTCAACTCTGTGTGGCAGGAAGATACTATCAACATCATTTTTTGCATAATGTGCAAGTATTATATGGCCACACAGTGTAATACAAATTAGTGGCAAAGTGCTGAGTGAAGGAATCCATGACAGACTCAGGTGCACACGGTCGAATATTACCCGTGAACTACCTGACTCTGCTAAGGTCTGAATAGCACGAAGCACTATGTCATGCCCAGTGTTTAAACATTTTCAAATATGGGGACACAATGAAGCTCGTTAAAGGAATTTCACCAATAGCCATAGGCAGCAGCAGGAGAGACATGGGTGACATGGCATTGGGGAGTAATATGGATCACATGAGAAATCTTCCAAAATACGCCGTCCTCAACAGTTCTCCACCCCGTCGTGATCATTGCCATTTGCTGACATGTGCTTTGTCCTAAAGTAACCAAACCATGCTGACCTTGAAGTTCAAACATCTGCATTCTGATGGCACAGCGGTGTTGCTTTCCATCACACTCACTTCCTAGGAAAAAGCTTGCAAAAGAATTTAGACTGTTAGGAATGGGAAAAATTTTACATGCAACCTGATTTCTCCTTCCAAAATACTATCAAATTTTATACTTATTTGGTATTGTAAGTGTTGGGGTGTTTAAAATGAAAAAGGACATCAGTTTCTACTTGATTTTCTGTCGGATCTTAAGCCTGGGGAAAAGGAGAACGTGGGTGATCTTTAGTTGGTGACATGATAGTTTCTTTTTTTTTTTTTTTTTCTTTAACATTTGAAATTCAGCTTACATGAATTCAAATGCCTTTGGCTCAAATGATTACTTTTCTGAACTCCAGCAAACAAGATAGTTTGCATTGTTTTCTCATTTAATAAAAAGAATTGAAATTAGTTTGTAATAAGGCAGCAGCAGCCTTCTAACTTGCTCAGCTGTTTCAGAGTAAAGCCTTAGAGGAATTTGCAAGGAGCTCATTTTGGGCTAACACAAAGGCCATGAGGTCCCCTCCAGGAGCTCATCACCCCTGAGGAAATGCTCCTCAGGAAAAGGGTAACTCAGAGCTCTGGTTTCATGAACCCAAATACCCTCATTAACACTTAGGGGACCTAACAAAGGGATACAAAAAGACAAACAGAAAAAAAAAAAAAGTTCCCCTAGAAGCACAACATGCCTTGCTTACCCCTTGCTCCTGGGGCATGGTGCAGCAGTTTAGAAGGTGGTGTTTGAATTTGAATTCTAGGGGTGTTACTCTTCTCGTCTTCACGGAGTTCTCAGTTTTGACAAAGGAAGCCAAATAAACTCAGGATTATTGTACCTTCCCTCCTTATCACTTGTAAAACAGATCAAAACCAAACCAAACAACCCCCTCCCCTAAAACACTTAATATGAAGGGCTCTCGCACAGAAGGTCCATTTGTTCCCTTATTTATGCGATTAATGGCTTTGAAAAATACACCCTAGCTTAAAGAAAAGTACTGCCCTAACTGGAGGATTGTGAGAAAAAAGGCAGATACACCATCCCAAGTACTTAACTGCTAGAGTAACTCATGTTTCTGTTGGAGTCTTTGACTGTCCTGTGTAGTAAGCAAAACCAGATTATCTTCTGCACTGTGAAATTTCATGCCTGCTTAAAAGTGAGCATGTGTGTGACTTTAGTATTTCAGGCAAGTGTTCAGGTGCTCTCTTCAGTGTTCAAGACAGCACCGTGCACCTACACGACCACCGTCCTTGCGCTTGGTCACATAAGCAGACAAACCCTGCCATGGCATACCATACAAACAATTTTAATCGTGTAGTTACAGTCAATAACCACTTCTAATCAGCACATCTCTGCATAAAGAAACTTGTGATACACTTATAAAAACAGCAGCTGTAACAAAATAGCTGGTGTTTTCATAGTCATAAACTCATAAAAAAAGAAATACACCTTTATACAGAAATTTCATACAGATGTCGCTTTAAAGTTGAGTGTAAACCAAAGGAAGACACATTGCAAACATCAATTATTTTCACATTAATTGCATAATTTTCTAAGGTGATCTATTAGTTTTATTTACCTAGGTTTATTTGCATGATAGTAAAAATTGCATACAACAACAGGAGTGAAGCTTCTAGAGTGAATTGCTTGGATAACATAGACTTTTATAGGCAACTGTGTAAAGCACATTTTCTCTATTTAAAACTTTTAAGACACTTTGTTTTACTGCCCATCAAAATACAGTTATAAATAGAAAGGAAATCAGTATGGTAACAAGAGAAGCAACATTACATTTAACAGAAACTTTCAAAAACTTAATTACAACATGATGCTGCAGGATCTACAAATAAATAAGGAGGACTAAATTGTGTTTCACATTTTCTTTTCCTTAAAAAAAATCATGTAACAATGAGAATGAAAAAAAATTACAGTGAACTTTTATTTCCAAAATAAAAAACAAATTTTAATTACGGCAGTGCCATATAATACAAGGCATTTGTTGGCATATGTCATCTTTAAACTGCATTCCACAGTCTATAGTTCTTTTTTTTAACATACAATCGAGTAACAAACTCATTTTTTTTTTCCTTTTTCTCTTTAAAATAAGGGGCCAGTTTCCAAAGACCAGTGTGGAGTGTTACAGAAATAATGAAAGGAAAGGCAATCATAATCACAGAAGTTATAATGCTTATTTGAGGCTCCAGAACAGTAATAATGAAAAGGAAAACCAATCTCTGGTATCATGCTGACAGGGCGCACACCGTGGTGCAGCCCGTGAACACAAATTCTACCATCAGACACCACCGACGCCTCACTGGGGCTGCCTTGCAGTCCGGACCACAGTAAACCTTCAGTGCTGTCTGTCATGTCCTTCCGACTTCCTGTTTGTGCAAGTTTCTGAAGATTTATTGGCCAAACAATAAACAATGAACGTTTTCTGCGCGAACACAAGGTGGACTTTTCATTTTGTTAGTAAATACCAGTGGTACGGATGAAAATAACACTTTTCTCAGTCTTTCAAGTCGGCGTTAATGTCCGTGCTCCCTTCCACCGACAGCTCCTCCTCCAGTTTCACAGAAAACAGGGTGTTGGCGTTTTTATCCTGGACACTCTCTTCCAAATCCTTCAGCAACTCCTCCTCTTTGTATTCCGCCACATCCACTTCCAAGCCGGAGTTGTCCTTCAGTTTACCGTGGTGCTTGAGATAGTACCGCTGGTTCTGAAAGAACTTGATGATGGTGTACTTGGGGAGGTCGAGCTGTGCAGACAGAGTCTGGATGGCCTCTTCATCCGGGTACAGGCCCACATCTTGGATGAAGCTCTGAAGGATCCCCAGGGCTTCCACAGAAATTTTGGTTCGTGGCCTGGTCTTCTGCCGGTTTTCCTCATCGGACTCTGCAGAGGAGGCCACCGTGGGCTGCCGTGGGGGCAGCCTGGGGCCTGCCTGGGGCTGGGGCTGCGGCTGCGGAGGAGGAGGTGGCGGCGGCTGCTGCTGCTGCTGTTGCGGCTGCTGCTGCTGCAAAAGACAAACAAACACGAGTCAGATCCGCTGGGAGCCGCTGCAGTGAGAGTAGGTGCCTGCCAAGCCTGTGTCTGAGGAAGAGCGGCCGGTTAAACAGCCCACAGCCTTTATTAAATAAATAAACACACTTCTGAGCTCAGAGCTGGGCAGCTAGGAGCAGTGCAGCTTGCAGGGCTACTGTGCTCACTTATCAGCGATCTGTGGAGGAGAAAAACAGCTGGGAAAAACGGGAGCCTCGCTTGCACTCTCCTAGAAGGGTTCTCACCCTCACCGAAGGCGGCCAGCAAAGCACATCATGATGTCATTAATTAACAAAGACTTAAAAGAAGAATCCTTCTTAGATTCCAGGGACAATGTCAGAAGGCTGAGTACCCAGCTCCGGGGAAAGCAGTGTGCCTGGCCATGCTGCATCTGTGGCTGCACCCTGGAGGACAGCACAGCAACCACGTCCTTTATTCTGCACACCTCTTGGAGGTGCAAGGATGCTGTCTCAGACAGTTCCAATTCTCTCTCTCTCTCTCTCTCTCTCTCTCTCTCTCTCTCTCTCTCTCTCTCACACACACACACACACACACACACACACACACACACACACTTTCCTACCAAACTGCACTAAGCTAACACTACGTTTTTTTCCTTACCCCCACCAAATAAAGGTTCACTCCATTCTACACCAGCTGGCGAATTGTTTTGTCTATAGTAAACTACGATGTGATTAGGCTTTAAATTTAATGTATACAGACACTTTTTCATAATTAGTATCTGCATATGTGCTGTAATTCCTGTACACAATTATACGTAACAAACGTGTGGCATGTGTCTACTGCGCACTCGACATCCATAATTCTTATCAGCCAAGCCAATCAACCCTGGGTGCTCAAAGCCGCAATGTATTAGAACATTTGTCCTGTGCTTAAGTATTTCCTCTTATCCCCCTAAGAAGCAATTTTATTAAAAACAATTTACATTTTCAAACAAGTACTATTTTTATTACTTAACATATATCTTTCTTGTCTTTGTTTTAGCTGAAACAGTCAGTTTTTCAGGCTTTCACAATTATTTTAGTGCTTAATATCCTGAGGGATTCTCTTTTTCAATTTGTTTTATCTTTAATAAATACTCAAGGATTTTTCTTCCTGGTGGATGAATAACTCTATTATTTTAGCTACAGATATCCGTATTTTTCACAGACAGCAATACCAGGAAGGAGTGTGGGTGATTCAACAAAGATGTCAGGCAGGTTTCTGGGGCCCTAGAGGTAATGGCATTTCCCTTCAAGGAAAAAGCTAAAAAAAAAAAAAAAAACCTTCAGATTTAGCAGAAATAAGTTACACAGCTTAAATTCAACTACAACATGCTGTTTAAGTTCCTGAAGCCACAGGAGCTCCACTGTGGTCTGGTCCACAGCCCTTTAATCAAGTTCCTCATGGGCTTCCACAGAGGCTGTGCCCCACACAGGCGACATCAAGCACAGCTAAGTGCTGGCACTATGGGCTTTGGCCAGAGCCATGGCCATTCCATTACTGTCCTTTGCACATCTGAAAACCCTAGCTGAGGGAGCTGGCCTTCACGACACCTTTTCCCCTTTCTCCTGGCACAGGAACTGGTGCCCGCTCACCTGAGGAGCAGCATTGGGCCATGGTGCAGGGCTCGGCAGGCCTGGTAAGAAAGCGGCTCTAGACTCTCCTTTGCCAAGGGTGCTGGGAGAGGGGCTCTAAGGAAAGACAAACAGACATGACTCACCCTGTCCTGCCCTGGGGTGGGTGGGGAGGCTGTGTGAGGTGAAGGTGGGATGAGGAGCATTCAGCAAGATGGGTTTCCCTCCCCTTCACTATGGAATGAAATGTGTGACTGTCCTCTACGGCTCACTGGTGGTCCCTTTCCTCCAGGGCAGTATGGTTTTAATTAGGAAGCAGTTTTAAGTTCAATTTTAAAAACACACTAAAAGGTATGTTCTAAGCTTTCATAATCAAAACCCAGTGCTAACCAAGGCACCCTTACTATTCTAGCAGTCCAAAATGGGGTTCCTGCCTCGTTAGGGTGAGGAGACTACTACCCAGCAGCCAGAAACAGCGTGTTTATCATCCTTTTATCCTGAGCAAGATGGCAGTGTGCTGCTGTCTGCAGTAGAAGCCTGTATGTGGACTGTGGGAAGAGAAGAACCACTGATTTCCCTGCTAAGTTGAAGGCTTTGTTTATTTAGTGCTGCGCGGAACTGGCCAAGGTAAACGAACCTGAATCTGTTCTGCTGGAACATGGATGATGTGGGGTGGCCTGTCGCCATGGTGATGCACAGCATTGCTCTCCTGCTCATAGATGGCATCACGCTCAGGCTGAGGAAGACTGAGGAACCTGCGGATCATGGACAGGTTCTCCCACAGGGTCCTGTTTTCTGGAGAAGGATCTTCTTTCCAGCGCAGCAGCTCACACAGCCATCCCTGAGGAGGAGAGGGCGACAGGTCAGTTTGTGCTGGGGCTGGAATCTTCCACAGATGCTAAAAAGGAGGCTCCAATAGTTAACTTTTTTATCACACACCACTCCAATCTGCTTTAATATTTTTTCCTTTGAATGCATAAGAGAGGATAGTTGTACCTATGGGGAAGTAGGCTGTTTCTGATCAATGTTCAGATCGATATCTTCATGGGCAGACACATGGGCTGGGGAGATGGCTTAGGCAGTCAGTGCTCACTCTTCAACTACCAAGAGCTGAGCTTGGATCCCCAGAACCCATATAAAAACCTGTTACCTGTCACCCCAGTGACAGGTGCAGAGACAGACACCAGGGGCTTGCTTACCAGCCAGTGTAGCGAAAATGGAGAGTTTCAGGTTCAATAAGAGACCCTGACTCAAAAAATAAGGTGGAGAGCCATAAAGGAAGACAACCAGACACCAACCTTTTGCCTGGACACATACATGCGCACACACACACACACACACACACACACACACACACACACACAGAAAGTAAGGACAGACATTTTCACACTCATTCATCAGAATCTGCCGTAAGAGTGATGGGTCAGAAACAAAGGCGAGGGAGGTGCAGCCCCGCCCAACCTTCTTGTTCGCCAGTGGCCACGGAAGGCATGGAGGTGGCAA